TATTTCTTTCTTACGTGTATGAGCACAGCACACAAACATTAATTTAGAAAGATCTTTGTACCCATACACACACACACACACACACACACACACACATGCTGGGATGGCGTTCTTCACCATGCCGTCGGTGGCAGGTTTAAGCCGGGCTGTTGAACACCGCTGCGCGTGCCCTTAGAACAGACTTTTACCTCGAGAAAATACTGTCTTCTGGCTTTTATAACTTCACTGACTTTGGTGAATGGTGTAATAGGAATCAATGTCATCTTCTCCAGTTCTTCTAACATCTTTTATTGAAGAACCCATCATGGCCGGAACTATTTCAAAAGGCTACCTTTAGTGTACTCTCAACTCTTAAAAGTATCTGGGCCTATTCTTAAAATAATTTCCCATTAACTTGCCTATTTTTGTACCAGCACGAACAGTTCATTGCACTTATAAAAACGTTACTCGTTTTGGGGGGCAGCGAGTCCCTTTCATTCCCCTTTTCAATGAAGATCTCCCTGTGTCCTTGTTTAGACTTCCACAGAATTTTTTTCCAGTTTCTCTTTTTCTTTTTTTATATTTTATGATTATGCTATTACAGTTGTCCCATTTCCCCCCTTCTCTCCCCTCCACCCTGTACCCCCTCTCCCACCCACGTTTCCCCCCTTTAGTTCATGTCCATGTGTCATAATTATGAGTTCTTCAGCTTCTACATTTCCCGTACTATTCTTGCCCTCCCCCTGTCTATTTTCTCCCTAGTGTCTGTGCTACTTATTCCCTGTACCTTTTCCCCCCTCTCTCCTCCTCCCACCCCCCTGCTGCTAACCCTCCATGTGCCCTCCATTTCTGTGGTTCTGTTCCTGTTTTACTTGTTTACTTAGTTTCTTTTGGTTTTGCTTTAGGTGTGGTTGTTAATAATTGTGAGTTTGCTGTCCTTTTACTATACATGTCTTTTCTTTATCTTCTTTTCTTAGATAAGTCCCTTTAGCATTTCATAAAATAAGGGCTTGGTGATGATGAACTCCTTTAACTTGACCTTATCTGAAAAGCACTTTATCTGCCCTTCCATTCTAAATGAGAGCTTTGCCGGATAGAGCAATCTGGGATGTAGGTCCTTGTCTTTCATGACTAGGAATATTTCTTTCCAGCCCCTTCTTGCCTGTAAGGTCCCTTTTGAGAATTCAGCTGAGAGTCTGATGGGAACTCCTTTGTAGGTTACTGTCCCCTTATCTCTTGCTGCTTCTAGGATTCTCTCCTTCGTTTTTACCTTGGCTAATGTAATTATGATGTGCCTTGGTGTGTTTCTTCTTGGGTCCAACTTCTTTGGGGCTCTCTGAAGACTTCCACAGAATTTTCAGAGTCATGTATTTGAAGTGAACATAAATAACAATCACCTATTTTTAAAAGGTATTTTTGTGCATTCCTTTCCTAATGCATTTACCCAATGGGTTCATACAGTTTTGCTTTTCACTGATTGCTTTTTTCCATTATGCAGTCTTCTACAGACCACTTTTAAGGCCCCTGTTCATATGCTACTGTTGGCCATGTGTTTTTTCTTTGAGGTGTAATTGACCTTAAACATGGTGTCAGTTTCAAAGGTCCGTTGTGGATTAATTTACATTAAAATAACCTTGGGTATTTGAACTGGCTTTGCACGGAATTCACCGCACTCGCTCGAGAACTGCTCTGTTCAGGGGTCAAAATGTCCCAGCTACCAAGTTCCTAGGAGCCCATGCCCTCCTATGCTGATCCCCCTCCGCCCATCCCCAAGGAAACCATGACCTTGAACATTGTTTTCTTTTTTTTTTTAGTTTTACTGTTTACGAAGCCTGAAACAATATGGTTTCTCCTGGCTTTGAACTTTTTAAGGTGCCCACGCCCACTGTGATTTTCTGACACGCTTCTTTCGCTCAGCGTGGCGTGGGCTTCCCCGTGCCGGTGGGCCGAGCTCTCCACGGCACTCGCTGCTCCCCAGGCCCCGCCGCACGCACGCACCCCCTTCACTCACTCATCGCACCCCAGGTGGGCGTGTGGTGGTCTCCTTCGCGCCTTTCTGGCGACTACAGATAATGGTGGTGTGACCGTCCCCTGCACGCGTGTCCCGGGTACCACACCCACACGAGTTTCTCTAACAGCATAAACCCCGGGCTGGGAGAGACACCCGTGTCCAACTTCACTAGGTAACACTGGTTTCCCATGTGGTGGAGCCAATTTGCATGCCAGCAGCAGCGGATGCCAGGGCCCGTTGGAATCATCTCTCCAATTGTTGGTGTTTCCTGGCATTTTAGTTACTTCCAGTTTGGTGGCTGGGAAATGGTATTTATGATTTCAATAAGCATTTCAGCTTTTCACATTTATGGGCCGTTTCTGTTTCTTCTGTGAAATATTTGCTTGTGTTTTCCGCCTGATTCTCTCCCACACTGCTTTCGCTGTAAGTTTGCATTCAGGTGCCCACTAACAGCTACATACATAATCGTGATTATGAGCATCCCATTCCAGCTTGGGCTTATTTTTTCACTCTATGGCATGTTCAGTAAACAAAAGTACTTACTATCAATGTAACCAAATCATCTTTTTAGAGAGAGAGGGAAGGGAGGGAGAGAAACATCAATGTGCAGTTGCTGGGGGCCATGGCCTGCAACCCAGGCATGTGCCCTGACTGGGAATCGAACCTGTGATGCTTTGGTTCGCAGCCCGTGCTCAATCCACTGAGCTACACCAGCCAGGGCTCACCAAATCATCTTTCAGTTAACAATTTGTACTTTATTTACAAAACCCTTACCTTTACCCAAGTCCTAAAAAAAAAATGCTTCCATGTTGTTTTGTAAATTCGTGTGTCCTGGGTAAACCTCTGACCCACCTGGGACGGACGGCTGTGCATGACAGAAGGTAGGGGTCCGGTTCGTTCTGCCCTTTGAGAACATCTGACGTCCTGAGTGCCCCGCCCTCCTCCGCACTGACCTGTATGTAGTGCCGGCGGCCCCACCCTCCTCCGCACTGACTTGTACTAGTGCCTGCCGGCAGCCGGGCCAGGAGGGTCTGCTCCCCGGCTCGCTCGTCTTGTTTAAGCGTCTACTTGTCATCTCTGTACCATTCCCACATCGTCTCAATCCCTGTATTTCATGTTAAGTTTTACAACTTGGTAAGGCTAGTTCCCCTCCATTTTCCTTTAGGAATGTCTTAGATATCCTTGGTCCTTTGTCCTTCCATTTACATTTTAGGGACCAGCTCGTCAAGTGACACAATGAAAACCGTTGGTATTATTTGTTGGAATTGCACTAATTTATTAACTAGTCTGTATACAGAGTTGAGACCTACATGATCTTAGTACATCAGTCTCTCCATACATTTAGGTAAGTAAAGGTGGTTTTTTAAAAAAATAACCATTTCCTCATTAAAAGGCTTATACGTTTTATTAACATGTATTGTTAGGTACTTTATATTTTTGCTCCTACTATAAATTTTATGTTTAAAAAAATGTTAAGAGCCATTATTGCTTGTAGCTAGTGCCTGAAAATGTAATTGCAGTTTGTACATTGATTGTGTTCTGGGAACTTTGATAAACACGTAAGCCTTCTAATTTGCCCTGTAGGTCCTTTGTCTATAGACGATCTGATCGTGCAAAGTTAATCCATTACTAGATGAGTCACATTGATTTCCCACATAACCAATGTGCATTCCTGAGATATATCTAATTTGGACATTTGTTATACTTTAAATACGATGTTAGATTTATTTAGTAAAAATGTTTCTTACTGGAGGGTGTGAAGGGAGAGATATATGTGTATATATCCATCACATCGAATGTATTAGCTATGCTATTTAAACCTTCTGTGCCCTTAATGACCACTGACTTTGTCTTCTGCAAAATCTATTAATCAATAGATCGTGCAGTGTGTTGGTAGATTATGTCTCCTTATAGTTGTGGCCACTTCTTTCTTCTTTATATATATTTGAGGTATGTTATCAGTAACTTAGATGCATAATTAATAAGTTTAGAACTGTTATACCCTTCTGGGAAATTAAGCCCATTGCCTTATGTAGGGGCCTGATCACTAACAATAAGGTGGGGGGGGGGGTGCTTAATATTAGTATGAAGAAACTTAGCTTCAGACAAATGCCCTACCCAAGAACAGACTCAGCTAGTTGTACAAACAATTGCTCTCAGATTCTGTTTACAATATTCTTTCTACTATATCATGTTTTTTGAATTTCAAATAGTTTAGAGTTGTGGATTATCGAGAAACAAGCAAATAGGGAAAATGAACATACATAAACATATATTAAGAACTGGCTCTAGTAGAAAAGTTTTATGCTCAGTTAAAAAAAATAGCTAATAGAAGGAGAGCACTTATTGGGCGGGGCGGGGTGGGGGTGGGGTGCCCGAAGGAAAATTTCAGGTGATTTAAATACAGAGAAAAAGAAAACATAAACTCACTGAATCTGGCTTCTGTGGGGCAATCATAAAGTAGGTTCATGACAACACAGCTTAGGTCATTTTTTAAAAAAGGATGAGAACTGGCATTCTGAAAACACTGTAGGCAAGGATGCTCGCAAAGAGACAGTGAGAGAAACTAAAATTGTAAGTAGGATTTCACAACACGTTAGGGGTTATAACTAATTTCACAGCAAGAAAACAAAAAGGCTTATTTTTTTTAAAGCTCAATATAACCAATGCAAAAAAAAACGAAATACCAAAAAAAACCCCACCCAAGTCAGAAGTTTTGATGAGAAGTCCACAATGTATCCAGTGTTTAAAAAAGGAAAACTACATCTGTATGTACACATGTATACATACTGTCTATGTATAGAGTTAAACACAAGCACGCTGCTTCTCATCACTGGTACGGAGGTCGAGCTGGGCGCCCACGCTGCGGGCTGAAGAACCGCCGTGGGCTGTGGGACAGACCAGTGCCGAGAGTGGCTCTCACTTAGGAGCATTATGAGGGTGCTGTAAGCAAATCATTATGTTCTATGTTGTAACAAGGTTCCAGTGACCCAGGCATCAACATGGCAAGGCCAAGCACATCTGTCTTTATTTCATGAACTGCAATGTTTTAGAGTGATGGTTTATACCCTAATACGGCAGGACTGATGCAAAACCAGCAAAGTCAAAGGTCAAAACCAGAGTCAGTGGCTTTGAACCTCCGGTCAGGGAGTTTTTCTCGGACTTGTGAAAGGCTGATGCACAGAACACCTCGTTCGAAGTGGCCCCCTGCTTTCCAAAAACGAGCAGCACCAGAGCCTAGATTTCACTGCTTTGCGGAGGCTCCAGCTGTGCTGGTGGGGGAGCCAAGCCTCCTGTCCGCCTTGACCCCTCCCCTTCACTCACGAGCACCCCCGTTTCCAGCCACAGCTCCCCACGACCTGCACAGCTGTGATGCCGGCAAACAGGCCTTGTGTGAGCGATTAAATCGTCATCTGTTTAACAGAACACACCCTTCGAAGAGACTCTCCAGTCTCGCTGAGTTTAGTACAGAGTCACAACATTAAAATGACATCTGGGAATCAATAGAAAATATTTATTTTTTTCAAACCACAGAATTCACCCAGACTTGTAAGCCATGAACATTTTTCTCGACAATCCGGTCCAACCAGAAATGAAGACAACTTCCACCCGGCAGGGGCGCCGCGCACAGCGGGGTCTCGCGAGAGCGCACCCCCGAGTAGCCCTTTCCGAGTTCTCCCCGTGGCCACTGCGCCAGCACAAGCAGGAACAGTGTGTGCGCTCGCACCACCCGCTGTGGACAGAGGCTCAGAGCAGGGTCTCAGCCAACGGAGGAGTGTCAATGACGGTAATAAACGGTGGGGACAGAAAAGCATTCTTTCCCAAGAAGAGGGTTCCTCTCACATACAAGGTGGGGAAAAAGTAGTAGGTTTACAGTTGCGAGCACGCGGAACACATGAGTTTATTCCTGTACTATTACTGATTAGTTATTGTATTATTTTTCCATAACAACCACTAGAAACCTACTTTTGCCCCACCCTGTATTCCAGTGGCCAGAAACTGGGGCAAATTTCAACAAGGTAATGAAAATAATCAAAAAGCCATTTCTCCATGAGCTTCTAGGACCTCTATTTTAACTTCTGATAAACATGAACTTCATCTTATGCAATCATATTGAGAACAGTAATCACACACAAAAAGGCCCTATACACCTCTTATAAGCATCAGTCAAGGAATTCACATTCTGATCTTAAATTTCAAAGTCCCCTTAAGGGGCCCAGACCTGCAGTAAAGTAAACATAGTACTCTGAAGCTCAATGAGACACCATAGGGGGGAAAAAAAATCAACTCAAAACATCCAAACAATGAATGGATAGCAAAAGTAGGTTATTTTGTGTTGGTTTTTAGTTGTAACGTTTTTTAATATCTCAGATTAGTGTATATTCCTAAAACAATGTTATTTTAATACTACCTGCTTATTAAACAACTGACTTTGGGCTTAAGGGCAATACATCTTGCATGATAATCATGCGCACAATTGAGATGAAACAGAAAGAACAGAGAGGAAAACACAGCCGGCCTCGCTAAGACGGTGGCGGACCTGGAAGGTTGCTCTGGAGGAGTCCACAGGCTCATCCAAGGCGCCGACGCAGGTGCTCCGGCTCACGGCCGCAGGAAGCGAGCTGTCCGCTGGGTGGCCAGGAGCTCTGCTGGCACGCAGGCACCAACAGCCGCTCTGAAGTTCTCCTTGTGCTGAAGGACGTTCAAATCCCTGCTCAGTCTGTACAGAACATTGCGAGGTGATGCATGTGCAAACTCTTCCTGAGGAATTCTTTGTGTGTGCAAATCTGCAACCCGACAGAAAGCGTGTAGCAAGGGGACTGGCAGCTCTGTGGGGCTGCAGCGCTGGGGACGCGCGGGCGGCGTTGCTGGCCTTGGCCTTGGCCTTGGGCATCGTTCTTCTGCAATCTCTCACCCACAGATCAGCTCTCATCCTACACCCCAAAGAAACGGAGGGCAGCTGCCTCAAACTTGTGAGAGGGACAGAAAACATGTAACCTTTCCACAAATGTACTAACGCACAACCCCTGCGTCCAGGTTGGTGTTCTTCTCACTGACTCTCCCTAAGAACTTCAGGGTTTGCTTTTGTCCCCAGAGGACACCAAAGGTGTGCTGGGCTGGTGCATCTGTGACAAGAGGGCACAAGACGGCATTGTTACTGAAGATTGGGGCCAAACTTTAAAACACGCACCATCTCTCCAACCAGCTGTCACCTGCTGACGCTCTTCCATGTCACATCTCAGTGGGACTGACGTCACATCTCAGTGGGACTGAACCGGCTCCCTTGGGAGGGAGAGGCCACATCCGGGGCCCCCCCCCACCCCCGCAGCTGAGCCAAACTGACTGCGTGTGCCGACACACCAGGGAACAGCCCGCGTGGCTGATGTTCTGACCCAGCCCACAGAGGCCGGGATTTCACAGGGGGAGAAACTATACACTCCAACTGGCGAGAACACAAGTCAACATGAGAAAATACTTTCTGGCACACAATGCTTCATCAAAACCAAATGGAGGACAAATCCTACTTCTTCTCATGTTGAAACGTGAGAATTTGGTTAAGAATCCCAATGAAATAGGCAAGGTCACTCTGCCTTGAAATACAGAAATAGATCCCTCCTACTGCCACGTGCCTCGGGGGTGCGGACGAGCGCCGACAGCCGACAGTCAGGGGCGCTGGGAGGAGGTGGGCTTGCCCCGCCCCGGCGCCTGGCCCACCACAGCTCTGCAGTACCGAGCTGGGCCCGGGCCTGGCTGCGCTCACTGCACAAAGCTCAGGGAAACTAAACTCTACAGATTCTGCTGACGTGTTGTTCACATACATGTTATAATAATAAAAGAAGACAATATAAAATTTTTCTCCATTAACTTAATAATGCAAATACATCCAAAGATTTTAATGCCAATTCGTATCATAATACAATGCTTTTATAGAGAAAGTTCTGTTGTCGGCCAAAGAACAGTCTCTCCCAGAAAAAGCATTTGGGTATATTATTAAAATACTGAACCATTTTTTAAAAATTCCAATTTTATTCCTTGCAGAAATATTAAAACCATCCCGGAGAGACTTTAGTCGCAGGTGTTATTTATAAGCCTGCAGCAACATTCCACTGAAAAAATAAAATTTGGCCTTCGTGGTAAAACGGAACTTCCCCTTGGTACTGGGATGTCCCTGGTGCAGCGAACCAAACTACACAAGGCCGGTGAGGGCCCACACCCCTCCCAGTCGTTCAGCGTTTATCAGCACAATCCACTACACAGAGCTCATGAGCCTAACTCAAGTCCTCCACAGACTCCACCAACTCTGGCTGACTAAGTACTTTAAAAAATGAATCTCACCACCTTTACTTTTGCCTCTCTGGAGAGTCATTTTACAAACACAGGACTTCTGGCAGATGACGCACTTGCTCCCAGGAGCACACTTCCAGGGCTCCCGCCCTCCCCTTCCCCCCAAGAAGGACAGACCATGCCGGCAGAGACAGCCCTCGGGGAACACCTGCTCGTCGGAGGTGTGACAGGGTCCCCAACGTCTCCCTTTCCCGCCCTGACTTCTCCGAGAGTAAATACTAGTCTGACACGGCCTCACGGACTCGCTGAATGCTCACCTTTTAGATTCACACAGAACTGAGGAAAAAAATTTTTTTCTTTTACCACATCTATTTTTCTTTGCCTTCCAAGAACCAGAATAAGCTTCCGAGTCTGAACAGGACCCAAACAGCACTGCGGGTGCAGAGAAACAGAGAACACGGCTCTGCCACCGCTGGGGGGGGCTTACAACAGCAGTGCTGCTTCCCTGCTGGACTCAAAACATAAATAAAAATTTTTAAAAATGAAAAAAATAAAAGATGCAGACTGCAGACTTAAAGTACTTCTCTGACCCATTTAAAATTAAACGGATCAAGGGTCCCACACCACTGATGATCCTCGGATGCAATAACCTGTCTGCCTCCTAGAGCATCACGGGAGCCAGCTTACTGCTGGATGACCCCCAACATCAAGGGGGGGCCTCGGGGCCAGAGCACTGGCTGCCCCTGAAGCAGCGCGACGCCGACGCTCCAGCAGCCGGTGCGCCGTGTGCGGTGCGAGGGGGAATGGCAATGTTCTGCGAGAGCTGGTCCCCAGCAATGACACGGGTGTGCCACGGGAGGCGGGGGAATCCGATCCACACGCGACAGGGTTCTGTCGCCCACCCGCTCAGCGCCCCACTGCGAAGTCATACCTGACATCTCACGGGGGGTGAGTCTGTGACACCACCCACCTTTTCGGGACGCAGGTGTGAGTCTGACCGCACGGTCACAGAGCTGCAAAGTGCACAGAGCTCAAGGCACAGAGGAGAAAAGAGTTGTGAGCTAACGGGGGGGAAGGAAGAGCAAAAGCAGGGTGAGCAGTTTCCTCTCACGGGACTTTCTAATGCTACACGAAGACCAACTCTCTCAAAGGGGTCTGTTTGGTTATGGGTGAGAAACACTGTATCGTAATGATCTGCTTGACTTGAAAGCAAAAGGAATCTTGACGTGTGAAACCGGTGTGCCGAGTGCCAGGCCCACGAGGGAGTGAAACAGTGCTTAAAAACAATTCTTCCGCGCTTACGTTTTTGGAGAAAGCTGCTGATTTGGGCCGCCGGGTTTCGCCTATAAAAACATCCCTTTTCAAGGTGCCTGTCCCTCACAGAATCTACAGATGGATTAGCCCATTTCAAAATCAGCCCCAAGTCTAGCAGCAACCGACAGTTTTCTTGTTAGTTTTTTGTTTTTTAAAATTACAAGTCAGAGTGAGAAGTCCGACGTCCTCTTCCAAGAACAGCTGTGAGACGGAGCTCCGGCGGGCAGGGCCCGCTGCGCCCCGGGTACAGTCTCCGCGGCGGCTCCGGCGCGTCCTTGTTTCCGGGAGGAAAGCACACGCAGCACGTTCACTATCTGTACCCCCTGGAGCTCGCGCACGCTGAGGAGCTGTCTGAAAAACATCACCAGAACAGGGAAAGGCGTGAACAGCAGGCGACATCTGAGAACGGGAGGAATCTGCCTATTTAACACAAGCTCCTCACCCCGTCCCAATCCCCCACCCCAAAATGTTTTCTTCTTTAAAGTGGTTTTGGGTGGCGTGAGAGGGGCCAGATCATCAGGAACTGAGACAGTCGCGGTCCCATTCCAGCCGACGACAGAATCTGGCAGCCTCTTGACAACTGTCCGAGAACCACCACCACCCACTGGGCTTCGGGCGGCCACAGTGTGCAGAACAGTCTGTCCCTGATCACACAGGGAGCCTGATGAGACCACCGTCAAGGGCGCTACGGACACCATTATACTCACTGCACGGTCACTGCCGTGGCTACCTTCCATCACAAAGCCACCCCACATGGTACGGAGCATCCTTACTTACTGTAAGCCAGCTCATCCCCCGCTCTCTTCCGGGACTGGTCACCTCTGGGGATTAAAGAAAGAAAGAAGAGGGGTCAAAAGGACTGACCGGCTTCTTCACAGACCCAACAGGCGAAATAATCAGCATAACTGATAACGGAAGTACAGCAGATATTTCGATTCTAACCCAGCAACCTATTTCAAAATAGACATTAAACTTAAATAGTAACTGAGTCACAACCTGTCAAGGGTGCCGCCTTACAAATACAGAAAGCTGTTCAGTGGAGGAGGGATGGTCTACACGGATCGTTTACACCGGTTCTAGAGACAGGTTCAGACTAGGATGTCTTTGAAGACTAACCGGGTTCTGCTATCGACACCCCTAGTGACCTTACACGAAGGGCTTCAAGCTTTTGAAAAAATCTCAGAATCTCAAGAACGAATACGAATACCCTTCTTGCAGGTAGAAGAACAAGAACCTTTGCGAACATTCACCAGCTCGTCTGCAAATACCAAAGAAGGTGTAGTTCCACTTCAGAGATAAGAAATCAGAGGTTCTGATCAGGTCCTATTCTACCCACACATCCGATTTTTGTCTGGTCAGTTTCTCAGATGATAGTTAAGACAAAGGACTAAAATGCCAAAGAAATGAGTAACCACCACCAATTCACTAGCTTTTGACTCTGCCCAACACTCTGCCCTTGGCCACTTTACTTTTCCTTGTATTTCCTTGTACATCCTCCTCAGTCCAGAACCACGATGATGCCGTCCTGTACCGTGAAACACCGCCCACAGGCCAGTGGGTCCCGGATTTAAACCCCCAGCTCCCACACCTCCCCTGCGCTTCAGGCGCAGGTCCACGCGCCCATCTCCACCGCCACTCGGGGGTTTACACACACTGCCAGTCTACTGTGGCCGGGACGATCGCTGACTCCCCACCATCCCCACACCCGCCCCAGCCTGCCCCAGCCTTCCTCAGTAACGGTACGACTACCCGCCCAATTACTCGGCCAGAGTCCCAGCTCATCCTTGATTCCGCTCTTTCCCTCACTCTGGAACATTTTATCCCCAAACATAATCCAAAATAGACCACCCCTCACCCACTCCACAGCGACAACCCCACTCCAAGAAACTATCATCTCTCCACTACACAACTGCAAGAGTCTCACTATTGGTCCAGACAAGAGCCAGAGGGATCTTAAGTAAAAGCATAAATAAGATTATTTCATGTCTTCCATTAAAGCCCTTCAGTGGGTTTCCAATGCCCATAAAAAGCAACTCAAATGCATTCTCCCAGCCCGGGGAGATCCCTCCTCTCCACCCTCCTCAACCACTTCTGTTCACTGCGCTGCAGCCACTCTGGCTTTCTGTGTGTCCCTGGGACACGGGAGCACTTCTGCACTTACTACTTTCTCTGCCCACAACCCTCTCCCCCCAGTTAGCCAAGTTAGCTACCTCCTTGTCATCTACTCCCTAGCTGCAACATCTCCTCCTCGGGCTTGACACTGCCACATCAGCCCGGACAGTCCCTCGTCCACGCCCCGGTCACTCACTCTCCCCCCACCGCCCCCCACCCCCCGCCCGCACTCGGTTTCATCTTCCTCACAGCACGTGCTCGGAATAGCATGTGGACGTATTTATTATTTATCTCCCTACCTCCCACTGCAAGCTCCCTAAGAACAGGAGTCTGCCTGCCTTGCTCACCCGGTACCTGGAGCAGTGTTTAGCACACAGCAGAAAATAAGCATTTGCTGAATGAACAAACTAGTGAACGTGTGTGCTCTGCGGCGGAGCGCCTCGTTCCAGGCTGCCTGTGGCCCTCTTCAGAGCCGGTGCCAACTGCCTTCAAAAGGGCAAATCAGTGTCCTTTCTGAGTGGTTGGTACCCGGATTGCTGGCACCAAACAGAACCTTGCAGGGTGGAGGTATCGCTGGTAATTCATAAATGGCTTCAACACATGATTAAAATGCTAGTTCAAGTAATGATCTTCTGCTTTTGCATAATCTTTCAGATTACCAGAACTTCCCACTTGTGTTCTCTGGTCCTGCCCAAGACTGGGCAAGAAACCCCCTGCTGGGCTGGAGAGGAGTCGGAACGACCGGCAGCGGGACGGCACAGGCACAGCAAGTGCCTCTGGAGGGTCCTCCTCCCCGCTAAGCACCTAGAGTGCGGCGGGCTCGCGGTCGGCACGAACCGGCCTCGGGCGGCCTAAAGAACTCTCAGTGCAGGTCCCAGCGCCCCTTTTAAACGTCTCTACTGGGACCGCCGTACCAGGCAAGCCAGCTGCGTGTCTCACGTCACCACCACTTGCAGTGGCACCGTCGCAGCAGCCCTCACCGAGTGCGCTGCCACAAGCGAGTCAGTGCCGATCAAAAAGAAAGGGCAGGGCTTTCTATCTGGAACCTCAGCTTCTGCGGACAACCTTCATTCCCAACCCCCCACGCTAAAGAAAAACTGAACACGCAAAAAATAACAGAAAAATGCAGACATGAGAACGACGGGGGAAAGGGTGGAGAACGTTTGAGTGTGATGTGCGCGAGAGGCCGCCAGAGAAACCACCTAGCGAGGCAGGTACGGAAAGGCACAGGCTGCGCCCCCGCCCGGACCCTGCTGCTCCGCGGAAAAGCCCGGGTCTACAGGGGCAACCCTCCCGGCTGACAGGCCAGCAACACCTCCACCCTGCAAGGTTCTGTTTGGTGCCAGCAATCCGGGTACCAACCACTCAGAAAGGACATCTTATCTGCCCTTAAAAGGCAGTTGGCACCGGCTCTGAAGAGGACCACAGGCAGCCTGAGGACGAGATGCTCCACCTCGGAGCGAGCACGTTCGAAGTTCCCACACGAGCAAACGGTCCACGATGCGACCTTTGACAACAGACTCCAACCCGCCTTCCCTGACGACAGCCGATTCGATCACGCAGGTAACAGATAAAAACAGCATGTTGATCTCAGCTTATATGTTAATTCTGGCTTTGAAATAAGTCCACATTGAATTTCCACGCACCTAAAGATCTTTTTCAAAAACTCCAGCTGAAGTAAGAATCTGTCCGATAAATGCAAAAGAGGATGTATTTGACAACATTCGTGCATTACTTCAAAATATTTCGAAGACTCACTCTGTGCCGTCTGCATCACAGCTGCACCCTGCCTGTGCGGGACCGTACATCGTGTAAGTGGGACATAATCCTAGGTGAAAATAGTTGGCAAAGCTGGACGGGAACCATGTGGTTACTAGGTACAAACATAAAGTGACTGCTCATACCCAGAACAGCCAGAAACAGAACTCTTGTTAGATGGGTTTTCACGCTTTTTTTTTCGATTAGTGGACACCATTTCTTCTAAAACAATTTGAGCCAGACCACATCCAGGGAGTCATCCAAGCTGGCAGGGCAGGGTGTGGAACGAGCTGGGAGCCCGGGCAGGACCTGCCCGCGGCTACGCAAACCGTGTCGCACACTCTTTCTGCCCCGCTGGGCCAGCTCAGCGGGGGGACAAGTGAGTCCGAGAGCGTCCGCTGGGCAGGACCTACCCTGTGCTAGGCACCCACCAGAATCATCTGTAAGGCAGACCTTAATCCTTATAAGCAAGTGTGAAGAAACAGCTAACTTAATTTTGGAAATGGCCCAATTCAGTTTATAAAACATTTTCATCTTATCAGCTCCTGGACTACTACGTTCAAATTTCAGGCAGAAGGTGTATGAAAGAATTCCACTAAGGGAAACAAAAAATCCAATTTGCACCCAAGCTCCAAGGCACTTCCTGCAATATGACCAACTTGGCCTCAGCAGAACAGTGCCATGCTAGTCCCTCATGTTCAAGGGCAATGTGACATGAAACCATTTACGGAGGAGTCAGTGACTCACCCCGACCAGGTTTTACAGAAGGGCTGCCACACATCCCGGTTCCAAAATGGGGGTTCAGACACACCGCTGGGTGTGCATAAACAGCTGCCCATGCTGCTCTGAAAGATGAGTTCAAGGTGTTCGGAGACATCCAACTTCCTAAACTGCCTCATGGAAATAAAACTTTTCAGATGGCTGTTTGTTTTTTAAAGACACCAACAGTTCATCTCTAAAATTAAAAGCAAACATTCAAATAAAATATGAAAAGCATAGAAGACTTCAAAATTATGGTGATTCCCCCCTCATATTAGGAAAAAAAAGGTATACTCAGATTATTCTGCATTTATTTTAAAATATGTAAGGAAAAATTTTAACTATAATTTAAAACACATAAGCCAGAAAAAGACAAAACCTGATATAGCTACACAAAGATAAAAAAACTTCTACATGACTTAAAATTAAAAAGAAAAACCAACACCATAAGCAGAGTCAAAAGACAAACTGAAAATAAACTGTCTTATCACAGGCAAAGGATCAGTATCTTTACTACAGACAGGACGCCTTGCAACTAAGAAAAAAGTAGATTAACAAACAAATAGAAAAACGCGTAAAGGACATGAACAGGCAGTTTACAGAAAGAAATACAAACACAAAAATTTGCTCAGCCTCAGTCACAACGAGAAAAGCACATTAAACCAACTCTGAGTAAGTGCGCTTCACCTGCTGGACTGGCAAAAATCCAAGATTGTAACAACATACCCTGTAGGTGCAAGGCCACGAAGGACAAGCCCTTTCAAACTCTGTGGGTGCGTCTGCAAAACGGCGCAATCCCCTATGGAGGGCAATTCAGCAATCTTAATCAAAATTACAACTGCATTTGCTCCTGACCCAGCACTCCTACTCACGGGATTCTGCTCTCCAGGTACACCTGCAATGGGTACAGGGGTGTGCAGGGACAAGGCTACTCGTTACGGCATTGTCAGTAATTGCAAAAGACCAGAAGTAACTCAAGTTGCCACCTACTGGGGACTGGTTAAATAAGTCATAGTGGATCTACCCAACAGGATGTGTAAGAAATGAATAAAAGTAAGAACACAGACTGTATTTGCTTTTGTCTGTATATTAAGAAAAATACTGTAAGGAATCATAAGCTAAAATAACGATGACCTAATGGGTGGGAGCAGATGGGGAGGCAGGAGAGAATCAAACTTCTCAGTGTAGGCTTTTGATCCTCAATGTGTATCATTTTGATTTTTAAATCACAACTCTATCAGCTCTTCAAAAGGGAGTAAGTAAAACTACTATGGCATTAAATGGCCTCATTCTGTGTGTGGAAACAATACTGCCGTTGGCAACGTTACAGTTAATGTCGGAGGCAGGTGACTGACCACTGGGCCTCGGAGAGAAAAACCAGCCGTTTGTGCTCCCCCACCTCCCGCGGGCCTGTCCTTCCCTCGCCCGCTCCAAGACAGCCGGGTGCAGAGGCCTGTCCACCTGCACAGCCCCCCGAGCCTTTCCATGGGTGGGGTGGGCGGCCAGGGGGTCACTCGGTGGGCCCACTACCACATGAGCACAGAGGCCACCAGGACAAACCGGGAGACAGTGCCAACCCACAGGCTAACAAGTCACCTGCTTTGTTTCCTGACCTGTGCTGAAACCAGAGACTCGGTAACAGTCATCTCGGTCAAGGCCAATATTCTGAGATCTCACTCGGCCTCAGAACCTGTGGAAGTGAATGTCCACCCCCAGTCCTGGCCAGACAAGTGAGCCAAGGATCAACCGACTCCTGGTGGTCACGGCTCTGCCACGGTGAGGAACCCAGTATCTTCCTTTCCACAACTGTCTTCCTTCAATGCCACAGACCCAAACAGGAGAAGATATGGAAAAATCTAAGTGAAGAGTAAGAATTATGAAAATACAAGGCACTATGTGACCTTCAGGGACACGGTGACATAATAGGGTGTCTTCCTATAGGAATCACAACATTTTTATACAATTTATTTCAGTTGAAAAGATGTACTCTGCAAGATTTTCTGGGTTAGAGCCATGATACTGAATTGTAAATTTTAGAGAAATTAGCAAAGTGTATATATCAAAACCAAGGCAGGCAAACTTTCTGGCCACACTAAAGAGATACCCTACTTTTTTTTTAGAGAGCGAGCGAGCATGCGAGAGCAGCACTTTTTTTTTTTATATTTTATTTATTTATTTTTTAGAGAGGGAAGGGAGGGAGATAGAGAGAGAGAGAGAGAGAGAAACATCCATGTGCAGTTGCTGGGGGTTATGGTCTGCAACCCAGGAATGTACCCTGGCTGGGAATCGAACCTGGGACACTAAGAGATACCCTACTTTTTAAGAAGAAACAACTAGAATTTAGGGCAAAGTGAAAATATGAGAAACAGAATCTAGGCTTGGCCAGATGGCTCAGTTGGTTAGAGCATCATCCCGCTACCGAAAAACTGCGGGTTCGATCCCCGGTCAGGGCACATGCCTAGGTTGGGGGTTCAACTCCAGCGTGTATGGGAGCCGAATGACCAACATTTCTCACATCGAAGTTTCTCCCTCTCTCCCTTCCTCTCTCTCTCTCAATCAGTGAGCATATCCTCAGGTGAAGAGTAAAATAATAATAATTAAAAAATAGAACCTATGGCCTCTTTATACTAGCTTAGTCATAAAAGTACCTTGTAACTGATCATAAAATTTCTGCAATGCTTTTGCAAATGTTCGGAACTCATCTGAGGCGATCTAAGTAGGAAGAGCTGTCGGGGGCTGCCCAGCCCAACTGCCCCCGATGAGAAATCCCTTCTTCAAAATCCACGTAAGGGAAGAGCAGCTTCCACAAAACCAAAACCCAGCCCAAACAGTCCACAGACAGAGGCTCCCTCCCTCTCCGGGGAGCAGCACCTGGACCTTGCACAGTTATGCCCCGTCTGAGAACCTGGCGCCCCTCCCCTGCCAGGCCCAAGTGGCCTAAGGACGTGGACGTGCTCTGTCACGAAGGGAAACACTTGCCTCATGAAACCGTTCTGCATGAGCTCCCGCTGCAGCTTCTGGTCCTGCGCGGCGTACTCGGAGAGTTCGGACTCCACCGCGGGGGGGAGGATGTTCGGGATGAACTTGGAAAACAGAGCCGGGGCCATCTGCACCCACTCTGCGAGGGAAGAACAGATGCACTGAGAAAATCGTGCAGACAAATTAAATGAAATGGGAAAGTTTTATTTTGTTTGTTCAATATATATTAAACTACACTTAAGTATAATCCCATTCTGATAAGTAACATACAAGAGGTTCAATTTCCTTTCGAAAAAGAATTTACAGCCTAAAGAAAGCCGATGTTTTCACGTTTTACCGATAGCAAAATGTAATGAAAATTATATAACAGAATTTTATTTATTTTCATCTTTTTACTGAACTTACTGGGGGGTAACACTGGTTAATCACATTATACAGGTTCCAGGTGCACAACACTGTAACACACCATCTGGACTGTACTGTGTGGTCACCGCCCCAAGTCATGTCTTTTTCCTCCACCGTTCAGCGGCCCCCACACCCTCTCCTGCCTCCAAAACGGGTCTCATCAAAAATCCCAAATATGAGGGAACACAAGAAGGAGATAACTGAAGAATTTGGAACGGGAGGCAACTGGGAGGGAAGAGGCTTGGTGGGAACACTAGGCCTGTGAAGCATCAGTTAAAACAATACACTGGACGGAGAACAGAACTGGGCAGGGAGCAATAAGAAGACATTAAAAAGTTCTACAAAAATGGAAGGGAAATTAAACATTTAACAAGCAGGCTGGAGATAACGGTAAGTACTTTTGAAATAAAAACCTATTTTGACCCATGCTAAATGACAGCACATTAAATATATATAACAGTAAAAGAATTAAAGTTGTTTATTAAAAATATAAATGACCAAGAGAATAATCAAAAGGAAAATATTCAGAAATAAAATAGGCAAAGGGAAGTCTAAGAAAGATATCTGCATTAAACATGAATCAGTATTTTTACTACAGAACACTTTTACAAATCACTAAGACCAGATAAGTGAAAGATAGGGTTGAATGGTTTCCAAGAAGAAAATACACAGAATGAAAGCCTTGTTAATATTCCCACAAGCCCGAGTGGAAATGAACACAACCACCCCCCCCCACCCCCGCCTGAACCCTGACTGTAAAGGACGTGCACCTGGCGCAGGGGTGCGGCGAGAGCAGCGTGCTCTCGGCCCTGGGGGCCCTCACTGAACACTGGCGGCCCTTCTGGGTTCTTCCAGTCTGGCCCTCTCAAACGTTCCCTCTTGGAAAACATCTTAGCTACGTATGTTAAAAACCATAAGACGTCAATGCTCTATTTATTCCAGTAGGCTCAATGTAAAAATGGTAACATCTGTAAATATCATTCTAAATCTGAAAAAATTACACTAATGCTGTGCAGTCCTGAGTCATTGGTAAGTTAAAAAAAAATTTTTTTTCAACAGAATAGCTACCTTAGTGATGGCAAAATAAATAAATAAATAAGGCCCCCCAAATGGCACAAGGGCCGATCCGCTCACCCCTTCTACACAAACTCATAGCAAGATGCCCTCAATTGGGACCCCGCGTCTAGCTCAGCTCCAGCGCGGTCTGGAAAGAGCCCCCGCGCAGCGCTCTGGGCAACCGCGGACCAATCAGCGTGAGCTGACGGAGTCCCACAGACCTGCCACTGTGGGGACTCCCGGCAGCCACTGAAACACGGGAGGAGAAACCAAGTGTGTGTATTAAACAAAGGGCAGGCTGGGATGGATGGCTGCAACTCCTTGTAAGCTGTGCTTCTACAGATCAAATGAAAACACACCTAAAATGGTCACAGAATTCAGAATCTCCAAGGATCAGAGCCCACGAAAAATCTAGTTTAAAAGACTTTCTCGGTTGATTCAGAGGCATTCATCATTATACAAAGATCGGCATGTGAGAACCACCACAATAAAAGAAACTTTTACACTTAAAAGTTTCAAAATATTTTCAAAATATTTTTCAATATTTTTCAATATAATTTTCAAAATATTTTAACCTTAACCTGTCAGATGAGTAAAACTGCTTTAATAAACCAGAAGCAAAATGAGCAAGACATGTAAATGTCAAGATGTGTTTCACTGTATCTCAGAACATGCCTAGGGTTACAAAAGGTTAGTCTGTGATAAAATTCATGTTTTCAAAAGGACAAGTCTCAAATACAGTATTTGCCTCACAAGTACCATGAATCCTATTATAAGAGCTCAAACTTAGATAAAATAGCATTTAGAGAACAAGTGTTTCTACCCACAGTGATTATTTTTATTCTGCAATTTATCACTTACGAATAAATGCCAGAGCTTTTATGATAAAGCTGCCTATTTGGGAGGCAGAATGTAGAAATCTGTCAAACTGCACTTGGATGCCTTCCAGAATGAAATAAACCATTCATAACCTAGCACTAAAAGTCCATGAGCTGTTTCATCACATTTAGTAAAATGAAATTCAAAATTCCACAAAACTAGAAGAAGAACATCAGCTTACCGGACACATGTAGTAAAATATTTCTGCTACCTTGTATAAGTAATTACATTATACAGGTAATCTGTTAAAAATTATGAAGAATAAAACAAGACCTGATTAAATTTAAGTACTATTAAATCTGAATACTGCGGAAGTCACTAATTGTTTAAAGTGGCCTGAAAAAGAAGTATCTGACACCACACTCTACCCCTAGTACCACCATTTGGACCTGGTTTCCATCTTCAACAAGTTAAATTCTGACATATCTTTCACAGAAAGCGAACAAGCAACCAGTTAAAATAACCACTGGACCCAACTGTATAGTAATCACAGTTACTGTGAGCATGCTTCTTATATTTTCAGAGACTGTGTTAAGCAATTGAGACCAGGTTTTATTTCATTTAATCCTCAAATGACAAAAAAATTCACAGAAATGTAATTAAAAGTAATCCCCTTTACCAAGGGGGATACAGCCCAAGCCCCCCAGTGGGTTCCTTGCAAGTAACGTAACAGGCCTAAGGAGATGGACTAGTGGATGCGGGGGCCTGTGCACATGTGCAGTGCGGGGCGGAAGTGAAGGAGAAACTCGGCAACAAAAAGGACCGAGATCAATGCTAGACACGAGAATCCATTTCACCAAAAGTGTCTCCCACAAATTATGTTCTGTATTTCCTGAACGAGTCGGTTTTCACTAGAAGAGGGAGAATTCCAACTGAGACCTGAGTTTACATTTCACCATGGTGAGTACCGACTCAATTCTTTTGCTGTAACAAATCCAGACACCAACAGGCCTGAGAAAACACACAGTGAAACGCTGTCCTCCTGGGTAAGGCTGGAACTACCAGAGACAGATGAGTGCAGCCCCCCAAGACACGCCGAGGACATTTACCTGGTCTGAGAGTGTACAGGCCTTTCACGATATTTGCCATAGTGGAAGGTGTGACCTGAAACGGTGTCGACTGGGCTTCTAAAAGTAAAGCTGAAAAAAAGAAGAGAAAATGGGATATAAAAACGATGTAGCACTCACTGTCAAGATTTCTCCTCCTATTACTATTTCTCCCAAAGGCAGAAGGGTAAATAAATGCAAGAAAAGAACAGCCCAAGAGGGCAAACGGGAGAGTTTATACACAAAAGATTTTTTTTTTAATCCAATGCAACAGAGCTCGATCTAACAAGTAAACAGGTGCCGTTCTGCTAGAATACTAATGGAAATGATTCAATTCACCGAGGTTCGGGAAGTAAGCGACGCTTTCTAAAAGCAGTGGCATTCACGGCGCTCAGCGAGCCGAAAGTGCTTCCCATTATGTTGGCAACTCGAGAGACTGGCACTTGGGGATGAAATGTTCTCTAATTCTCTCAATCACTGCTCTTTCCCTCAAACCGACATTGTTGAGGCTCTCGGGGTCTTTCTGAAAGGCACGTTGCTAGTAATTTCAATAGCTGCAGAGTCAGACTGACTTTCTGAGTCAATCTGACTTTCCCCAAAGCTGCAACTGTACGAGCTTTTTTCCCTGCTAAAGAGAACAACACGAGCACTCGCCATCACCCTCATGGTCACGGCTCTGGGAACCACAGGACCCTGCCTGACCGTGACCAGAGGGGCAGTTTCCTTTCAGGTTATCTACTGCCAGACAAACATTTTATTAGAACATTTTTTAAGGATTTTATTTATTTTTAGAGAGAGGGAGAAAGAGGGGAAAAAAACCCAAAAACGATCGGTTGCCTCTCATACACCAACTGGGGACTGGGCCCACATGCCCCCTGGCACGTGTCCCCTGACCGGGAGTCGAACCGGCCGTCTTGCGCTGTGAGGAGCACCCAACCCACTGAGCCACACCGTGGGTCAGGGCTTATAGGAATATTTTTAAATGGACAGGAACAATTTCTCTAGATAACATCATCAACAGATACAAATAAATTCCGTTATTTAGGGGATACGACAGACACTGGTGACTCAAAAGAGTTCATTTTTAATTTATCCCTCAAAGATCTACAATTTATTAACCAAAATACTTCAGAAAACTTGGCATAATTTTACTGTATGCCGGGCTTGTGAATCGGACAGGCTGTCCGTGCCCTTTTAAAAACGAAAACATGGCCAACACGTCTGGCCGTCTTACTGAGCCAACGACGACTTCACAGTTTCAAACACACTTTGTGAGCTACGCTTGAATCTATATGATGAAGGCCAAAGGTGCATTGTTCCAGCTCATCCTTCGGATTTTATCAGCAGATAGCTGTAATTCTGGGTGGTGTATTCTATCTGTTAATCCATTTTCCTACTTTTTGACCAATAGTTTTGACCTTCAATAAAGTCTTGTTCCGACTGATGACTACCAGATAGGAGGGCAACTGGGGGAGGGTGGGTGAAAAGGGGGAAGGGATTATGGACAAACTGGCAGGTACAAAATACTCACAGGGATGTAAAGTACAGCATAGGGAAGACAGCCAATACCATTAGCAATTATGAATGGTGTCGACTAAGTACTAGACTTGCCAGGGGGAACACTTGGTAAGTTATGTTGATGTCTAACCACTATGCTGTAGACATGAAACTAATGTAATATTGTCATCTTTAATTAAAACATTTTTTAAATATTTCTTTAAAAAAGTATTATTCCCAGTAACTCTTCGTGTTCAATGAATATTCATTACATGGACAAATACTGAGTTGACCAAAAAGTCAATATGGTTTTTCCCATAGAATAAAAGACACACTTTTCATTTTTGCCAGTGACTTTATTGATCTGGGTATTTTGAGTATGTCCGCTATCTCCCACGTGGTAGATTGTTGACTGTTCTCGATTAATGTCGATTTGATCGCTGTCAACTTCACCTGGTCTGCCCGACCTTGGAGCATCGTCCAGTGAGAAATGTCCAGCATGCAACTTCGCAAACCACTTTTGACAAGTTCAATCAGTCACAGCTCCTTCTCCACATACCACACAGATCTGTTTTTGCATCTCAGTTGCAAAAAACCTTTCTTGCAGTAATAAAGCATAATATGCTGAAAATGTTGCTTATTTTCTTCCATCTTCGATATTGAAATGGCTACACAAAAATTCACCAATTTTGATGAGTTTTTTTAATGCACACTGATATGACAGCTGTCACAGTACAATCTAACAAAATTGTTTTGGGTGAAGTTCAGGACAGTTGTCCTAAGCATTACTAGAGCCATCTTATGGAAAAAAACAAATGAACTTTTTGGCCAACCCAATAAATATATTTGCAAACAACCCTTCCATAACTATGTCAAAATAACCCATGTCAAATTTGATAGCTATGAAAAATGATGAATTCAGATTAAATTATACATAAAATGCATATAAACTTATTTAGGATGAATTAATTGAAAATAATTACATTAACAAATGACCATTAGAGTGGAGAAAGTGTAATATTCCCTAAAATCCCCTCCATCCAAAACTCTTTTTAGGAAAACACTGTTTCAAAGACTTTCTAGTTGATCTCCCCTTTTAAGGAAAAAGGAATGGAAATTTGGAGAAGTGGTAGCTTGAGAGAGGAAAAAAATATTTGTTGAGTATTTAACAGGTGCTAGATACTTACATATGTTTAAGTCTCATAATCGTTCCTTTAAAATTTACCTTCTCACAGCTAAACTCTCATCTACCTTTTTTAACAGATAAGAAAACTGAGCCTAACGACAAAACAGAATAAAAACCACGGAATAACTCGTTGGAAATCACAGAGCTGGCAGGTTACGGAAGAGGCCTGAGAACCTGCATCTCTCTCCGAACCCCGCACGGTTTCTGGTCCCCGTGCTGCCACTGACGTGCTGCTCTTGTGGGCGAACTGGTGCTAACAGAGTGTGAGCCTTAGTAACAACTTTCTTGCAAGAAGCATTCAATTTTTTAAAAAGCAAAGATCCCCCAATAATCCCACCGATTGTTGACTGTCAGGAAATAGTTTTAAACTAGAGCAGGACCTTAGAGAACGTCTTGTGCTAACCTCTTTTTTACAGACTTTGACGTTGAGGTCCAGAGAGGTCAAATGCCCTCCTGAAACGTCACCTGGCTTTTCAATAGCTGGACCGGGACCAGAACCCAGCTCCTGTGCTCTTCCAATTACCCCTCAGAACCACAGGCTCACCCAGGGACTCCTCGCTTTTATCTATTTGAGAAGTAATTCTTAAATCAAACTAAAAATACTTGGCTTAAAATTTTCTCAAACTGTAAGGGTCTGAACTAAAAGGCAGAACCTAAGGAGAACACCTGAAATGTCGTTATTTAAAACCTGTGCAAACTGATCTGTAATCTTCTACTGCAACTCAACATGTGTTTTCTCAATAAACTTGTACCATTAACTGACTCATTTTGTTGAATCTGCACAGAATACAATACTACAGAGAGATAAGTGATTAATGTACATCCTAGTATGTCTGTTGTTTTCAACGTTGAATACCAAGTAAAAATTATTTCCAAACAAAATTTTAATACTGGCCAAAAGTGGAAGCCATTTTATTTTATAAGCATAGATGCATGAAAATGATGACCATGCAAAGATGTTAGAAAACTAGCTTTGCATGCAGTGAGAAGTCACTTTCTTCATTCATGAAACAGCTACTAATACGGGCCATTTGAGTCCAATTATTAGCAGAACAGGTGTTCATTCTGCCCTGCTGCACTGGCTTTAACATATGGCCCCCAAATTCTTCTGGCACGCCTCCCATTGCGAGGTGTGTCCGTGTCCACTCCCCTGGAATCGGGGCTCTGGACCCGCCTGCCCAGCAGCACACAGCAGAAGGGACACTGTGCCGAGTTCCGGGCCCAGGACTCTGAAACCGGCCGTTTCCACTTCCTCCCTCTTGGAACGCTCACTCTCAAAGCAAACAGAAGACGGAAAGCCGAAGCCAGTGCAACCGCTGGTCATGTAAGTGGGCCACCTTTCAAGCCCCCGACCCCTGATGGAGTCACTGCAGCCAATGCCGAGTAGGGCAGACATAAACCGCCCCACCGCGCCCTGCCCGATGCAGATTTGTGAGCAAAAGAAAACGGAGCTGCTGCTTGACGCCACTACATTTTGGGGTTATTTGTTACATAGCAGTAATAAATAAAACACGAGCATTCCCAAATGTATGTGAAGCCATGTTTGGGGAATTACTGATCAGATTTTAGAAAATTACAGAAATTGAATGTACTTATGTGTTTTGGTAGGGAAAGGGGTGAGTATACAAAACTGTGTAGAGACAAGAAACGAATCCTTAACAGCTGTTTTTCTGCTTTAAAATAATTTTACCCTCTCTGTGCCTCGTTTTCCCACCTGTCAAACAGGGGTTATGACTGTACCTACCTTAGAGTTATGAGAAATAAATACGTTAGTGTTTGGCAAGCATCTAAAACAGGCCCTACACTGCACAGCAGTGTGTTTGGTTTAAAGCTCTTTCTGACGGCCAAGCACGTAACATTACAGAGTCTCTTGCTGTTACTGAGTCCAAACCAGGAGGCCAGTGGTCACTTTCTGTGCCCCTTACTCCAAGCACAATGCCTGGGAACTGCTTAATAAATACCTGACGAGCTCCATTTTATCCAATTTACAAAGCTTCAGGGCCTTTTCAGTTTACTTGGAAAAGAAAAGGCATATCCACCTTTAAGTGTAATTTTTACTGAAAATCGGATTATATAATAAACAGAAGGAAGAAGTAATCTGTTTATGTTTTCTCTGACCAGATCTGGACTGTCATATTTCTCTTTGATTACTCTCTTTGCACATATAAAATTGATTTCCAAATTACTGACAAATATAAAAACATGTTTACATAGTAAACATACTTTTCTACCAAATGATAGCGCTTGTCTGAAGAATTTTAGCAGGAACGTTTCCAAAGTGCTGTGTTTTATTTCACAGTGAACACAAAGACAATGTCAACATCAGAGGCAATACTTAAGCGGCTCTAACTAACAGCTGGGGTATCTCATGAGATAATGTTTAGAGATATCTGTAAATGTGTGGCCAGCCTTTAAAAAAAAAAAAAAAGAAAGTAAGGCCATACTCCCAAGATTCTAGATCTCTATGATGATTCTGTAAATTCTTGGGAACATAATGAAACATATAGTATCTTCATCTACAATATTATTGGAAAACGCTGCCTTTCTAAAATAATCTGGCCTAACGTTTAATATTCCTTCTCTTCGTTTACACTAAAAAATGAAAGAGTTTGTGGTCAGGCTTACAACAATTCCCTTGTAAATTCTGGTAAAAGTCCACTGTGGCAGAAGTTATGACTATTAGAAAAACAAAGTAATACCGCAAATCCAGAATGGGCTAAATTCTAAAACACGATTTGATGACACTCTGTACACAGTGTAAGCTTTTAAAGAATGTGGACCCCTTAGGTTACCGGGGACCTCCAAACTCCATTCAGAGAGGTGGATTCTTTTAGGAAAGGTGCAAGATGCCACCTACTGTTAGGGGCAAAGAGGCCTGGGAACAGGAGGAAAGGAAAAACTAATGGAATGTGACAATTTGATCTGCTTGCTCAATAACCTACATACCCACGTTAAACATTTCACAAGTCCTAACTCACAGAGGAGGAAACACAGAGGCTAAGTAACTGCCTACAATATAGTTAATATGTGACAGAGTCAGAGAAGGGTTTTTGCACTACAGAGTAAGAATCAGAGAAGATTCTGTGCTACCACTTCAAAGATAAGCACGCTCTCCTTCTAGAGTCGCCACTAACAAAGTTAAGGGTAAACCCCTTACTAGTATTTCCCCCATTGTCAGGAGGGGTAAAAAAGGCAGCAAGTTTTGGGCCAGATATGAAGGCACCACCCAGTGACGTGGCTAAGCAGCTCCCAGCCCACTGGGTGACCTTCAGGTCTTATTTTCAACTCCTCAGGCCTCTCCCTAGTGAACTGGGCTGCGACACTCTGCCGTGTGACTCAGAAGACGTCGACGCTGCGGAGTGCGCGCCAGTGCTCTCTGCTCGAGAGAACACGTGTATCACTGCTGGTGTTCTCTCGCCCCTGCAAGCTCAGTTACTTACGCATTAGGCTGTAAATGTGCTTTTCTGCAACATGTTCCGTAAACAGCTTTATAAGGTCATCTTTTAAGTCTCTGTTAAGCTTGGTTTCGATGTAAAACTTATTCTGAAAAAGAAAATAAATTACTCCCAGTGCATTAATTAAGAGAAATTAATAAACTGAAACACTAAAAAATATTTTAGAAAACAACTCATAAAGACATGAATTAAAACATAAAAAAAAAAAAATCAAACAACAAAAAAATCCATGTCCTATTTATGTCTTTCTGGCATGGGGTTCAAAGCACACAAAGATACAATGCTATGACCCAGACACCTCCAGAACAACACAGAAAGATACCTGACATGTCCCAGACAGGGATGTACAGGACACATGGAACCACACTATGTGACAGGCATTTACTATGCCGTTTAAAAACACTTTATTATCTAAAAAGCAACACTGGGAATCACTAATGAAAGGCCCCCATCTATCAATGATCCAGGCTGAAAGCAGGTAGCAAACACGCACTGGCTGACTCCCAAATGACACTCCACTGCGATGCTCAGTCTGAGTCGTTCGGCTCACGGCACTCCTTAGAGACGGCCATCTCTGAACCAACTCTGGCTCAAAGGCAGACACGTGACCCAAGGTGGCCCCCGCAAGACCGAGAGAAACCTAGTCCTGAGTGTAAAGTATCTTACGGTCACCTTACCGCCCTGAGGAGAGCAAGGTGAAACAGATGCTGTGTACAGCCAAGAGAAAAAAAGAACCCGCGTCCTCGGTGACGCTGTTCAACCACAGACTCAGCCAACCCTGCAGACTGCCTTGTGTCTGGATTTTATTACAAGAGCTCATTCTTTCCCTTATTTACTTAAATCACCTTGAATCAGCTTTTCTGTTTCTGGTAGCCAGAAGCATCCTGATTAGAATAGCTGGCAAGTCAAAAAAGAGAGAATTTGCACTGGCCGGTGTGGCTCAGTGGACTGAGTGCCAGCCTGCAAACCAAAGGGTCACCGATTTGATTCCCAGTGAGGGCACATGCCTGGGTTGCAGGCCAGGTCCCCAGTAGGGGGCGCTAGAGAGGCAACCACACATTGGTGCTTCTCTCCCTCTCCATCTCCCTCCCTTCCCCTCTGTAAAAATAAGTAAATTTAAAAATCTTTAAAAAATTGAATTTGTTCATGTTTTAATATTACTTCAATGTATAGGAATGGAAAATGCAAGGAGGAATGTTAACAAGTTGCTCATTTTTAATTCCTGACACGAGTCTTTTTCCTCTTTAAAAAATTATAAATATAACAGGTGCATGGTTAAAAATTAAAACCATGCAGAAGGGTATACAGTAGAACGAAATACCCTCAGTAGACCCTCTGTCCCACCCCCAAAGGTCCCACTCTACACTGGGAAAATTTTCGTTATGTTCTTTCTAAAGTGTACCTTGCATATATATATGAGTACGCTTTATTCCCTAATAAAGAAGAAAATACAAAAGTAAAATCTAAAAAAGAAAATACTTGCTAATGGAGCAATATTTCATACTGCTCTCTATGTTGCTTTTTCACCTAATGTCTCCTGGGGAAGACTTTTCTCTGAAATAACGGATGTGTCATTATTTTTCCTGCGCTTTTTTCAACTGTAAGTATCTTCCATAAGTTACTTAAATAATAGTCCCCTGCTGATCACAGAAATTTCTCCCAGTGTTTTTTTTTTTTCTAGTTGTTTTGTTTTTTCAGTAAAGTATATCTATGGAGAATAAATAAATCGTTTTGAAGACTGGTATACAACATCCAGCCATCTCCATGCCATAGATTACAGGGTCAGCCCACACACCCCATTCCCTAATCAACACACGAAGAGGATTTGGGGTACCGACTTCCCTGCGCTGGGACAACGAGCCCCGCCTAACAGGACCACCAACGACTCTATGCACTTAAGGGGGGAGGGGCTAACCAACAAAGTCAACAGACTACAAATTCCACTCAAGGCACAATTCTCCAAATGAAAGTGATCAGCAGAATGGAAGCAAATTGTATTGTTCTTTTTTATGAAATGACTTTCTTGGCATTTATCACACTTCATGTTTTCAGATACATAGCTTAATTCTCTATTCTGAGGACAAAAAGAATCTTTCTTATACACCTTTATTTTCCATATGGCGGCAATAAAATAAATGCTAATTGGGTGATTGCTGATATTTAATGCCTGTCTATATAGCAATGTTGTTTATGTAAGTTTAAAACAGAGAAGGGTAAACAATTCCATGTCAACACTATCAAATATTCCCCAAATAGGTTAACTTCCATTTCTACCGTAATACACAGTATTAAAAGGCAACAGAACATGCTCCCCATGCTCAGATCAATATGCCGCGCTCCAACTTACCATATATATGAAAAGAGGCACAATGCTCTGCAAGGCTCCCATATATTGTCCAAGAGCTATATTAAATCTTTCGATATAGAGATCAGGAGGGCTGGCCTGTGAGCAAGAACACACATGTGATCATTCTGGGAAACCCGGGTTACGTCACAATCTGAAGTGCAAACGCTCCACTTACAAGCTTTAGGCCTCGCCCAGTGAACCCTCCCTTCTCCCTCAGCTTCCGTTACTCCGCACGGACAGGTGTGGTGCCACCAGGTGCCTGCACACTGAGTGTTCTTTCCACCTACGTGTGAAACCAGGGGGGCTCAGAACACTCAGTCACCCGACTTCAGTTTCTCAGCCAGTAAGTCCTGGCCAATCCGAATCCTTCCATCTATTCACGTTCCTTTCTCAGCACCCTAAAACCTTTAGAAAAAGCTCACATTGCCAATGCAGGGCGCACCGTGCACCTCTCCACATTCCAATCTGCTCTTTCTCGGGTGCAGCCCAGCTCGGCCAACATGGGGAACGGCCAGCAGTTCCCAACCAGCATCGGGACGCTGCTTCAGGCTTCCCGACCATATTCTCTACCTGAAGGTCTTTACCGCACCCCCGACCAGACTCACCTAACTTCTGCGCATCCTTCACGGTCTGTCACCTCCTCATACACACCTGGGCTGCAGGGCCCTTCACCGTCACACTTGCTCACTTCTCCCACTGGGTGGGGTCTGTCACTAAGCTTAGGTCCCCTCAGGGCCAGCCCCAGGCCTCCCCTCCCCATCTCCAGTGCTGACGCGGAGCTGGGCACACAGTAGCTATACATAAAGGCATGCCTTCCGAGGACAGAGCCTTTCTTAAACATAAATTTGGTAAAACAAATCTAACCTAGCTTTGTTTAAATCTAAATTATTTTACTATTTAACAGAGCTGTATGACATCATGCAATTCATTTAGGCCTCTGAATTCCAATTTTCACACATATAAAACAGGAAAAATACCAACGTGCTATTTCTAAGAGGTGCTTAGATTCAAAGAAAATGGTAAGTGCTTTGAAAAATGTCAAATATGGCACGTGCATATGCAACTAGTAAGTAAACTTTCTGAACTAACTACCCATTTGCCTAATACTTCATAAAAACCCATTAATGTTATTAAAAACATTCCTTATCAACTAAAGAAACTGGGGGAAATGGTTCCACATTATGACCAAACTTTATAATTAATGAACAGAAACATGTGATAGCTTTCTCTACAGTGCTTCAAAGACTCTAGAAATGATATTTCAGTATTCAAAGAAATAAATTTTAGAAGTATTACATGAAAAAAAATCTGAAGAGGTTTTGCATTAAAATAATTTTCTCTTTTTATAAAAGGACACTGTCTATCCCAAAGTTAAAAGTAGGAACAATGATTAAAAGGCATACTTAGTAGCAGACAGAATAAACAAAATTGAATTCCTTAGTTATTCTTTTCAAGAATTCACAAAACTTCAAAGGTTATGGGCAATAAAAAGTACTTTTTCTACTAAATCAAATGTCGGGACATTCAGTTTTTTATTTCCACATTTCATGCAGCACTAATTCAAAACCTTTTAAATGACAGGGCTATAAATTATAACACTCTTCTAAAACAAATCCAATCTCTTTACTAGGAACCTAGAAAAAACTATTTTTAAAAACTAATCAAATTGTTCATCCTTAAAACTTAAATTCAGTATACTCTGGGCCCCACTAGGGAAATTGCTACCTACTTGATTTACATCATTTCGACATGAATATATTTGGCTTGGACATTAAGGGAAATTTTTTACCCCTAAAACAAACAAGTTTCATTTTCTTCTCAAACAAGAAAAAGATGCCAGAAAATTAACTTTACTTCCAACTTTTCATAATAGACCTTGAGTCCCTGAAATGTATAATATGGCTGGGAGGGGAATGTTCTTTTTTTTAAAAATGACTAATGTATTCATCTGGTTTAAAATTCAAATTAGTTGAAAATGGTTTGGAGTTTACCTTTCATTCCTTCCTCGCTGAACCAATACTTAAGTCACTTATAACCTTCCAAAAAAATGTTATGTATATACAAAAAAATAACTATCCCATTTATACCCCTTCTTTTTCACATAAACAACTGTATGATTGTCACTGTACAATCACACACTGATCTGCAATTGATCTAAAAGTGTATCTTGGAAACTGTTTTATTCTGGCAGTTCTCAGACATTTTGACCTCAGGAATCCTTTACACTCTTAAAATAATCAAAGACTGCAAAAAGGTTTTTTTGGTTTTTAATATTTTATTTATTTATTTTTAGAGAGAGGAAGGAAAGGAGAGAAAGAGGGAGAGAAACATCAGTGTGTGGTTGCCTCTCATGCTACCCCCCACCAGAGACCTGGCCTGCAACCCAGCATGTGCCCTGACTGAGAATCAAACGAGAGACCCTTTGGTTCACAGCCCGCGCTCAGTCCACTGAACCACACCAGCCAGGGCAAGAAGGCATACTTTAATAGCCTTTTCAGATAATTGTGAACATGCTTTAAAACTTAACAAGTGGTAGTTTCTCACAGATTAGTTGCAATATAAAATCAGAAACCATCAATGAACTCTTTGTTCTCTAGCAATTAAAACCTATTGGTCTATCTTCCACTGTGAATGGATCTTTCACATACGCATTTTAAAACATCATGAACAGGTCATTTGGAAACACAAACTTACTGAATTATGCAGATCTTCCAAATGTTGACACATTTCACTATACGACGACAAACAAATTTCAATGGCTAGTATCACCTATCTAATCACCAGGGTCTTTTTGGTTAGGCACTGAGCATCAATAAAGGTCATGGTGGTCGATTCAGGCTTTCCATAATTCTAACTCTCACTTCAAACCTCAAATGTTTTCACTGGCAACAAAGACTGTCAGCTGTTTCCCCTGAAGTGACAGACTGACTTAATTCATTTTTGAGAAAACGTCTGTCAAAATACCAAAGTCTAAATAACCATAGTTTGTCAGTTAGTCATTCTTTTAAATAAAAATAGTGTTCTATGGGGTGGGGGAGAGCTAGTTTAGCTCAGAACTTATATAACCACACCAGGTTTCTTCTCAGACACATTCTTCCTTGGACGTTGGTACGCAGGGGGAATTTTTAAAGTACACTCAGAGTCACCATTTAACACATCAGTACTTCCCGCTGCTTCAGCTCGGGCACTCGTAAGTGAGGCGGGCTCGTTCCTGCTTCTGGTTCCTGCCGCGAGCGCATGGAGGCGAGGATTCCAGCGGTCTCACTCACTGTCGCTATTGTACCATCACAGCAAATACCAACGGAGGAAAAAGGGCAAATGACATTCTGGTAGTACTAGAAAAACAGTTCTGATCTTGTAGCCCCCCTGGAGGAATTTCAGGGGCCCTCAGAGATCCGCAAACCATAACTGAAGAATTCTCCTCTTGCCCTGACTGGTGGGGCTCCCTGGGTTGGGTGTTGGCCGGCAAAGCGCAAGGTCCCTGTTTCGATCCCAAACAGGGCACAGACCAACACTGCGGGTTCCGTTGGGACATGCAAGAGAGCAACCGATCCATGTTCCCTCTGCCACCAATGCTCCTCCCCCTCTTTCTCCCCCCCTTTCCCTCTCTCTAAAAAGAAATCGACAAAACAAAATAAGATAAAATAGAAATACTGGGTCGGCCAAAAAGTCCATTTAGTTTTTCCCATAAAATAAAAGACACATTGTTCATTTTCACCAATAACTTTATCGATCTGGATTATTTGGAATATGCTGGCTATGTCGTAGAGGCCAGGGTGCTGCTAAACATCTCCCAATGCGTAAGACAGCCCCACAGCAAAGAACTCTTTAGCCAGAATGTCAACAGTGCCAAGAAATTTCGCGAACCACTTCTGACACGTTTGATCAGTCACAGCAGCTTCCCATACACTGCACAAATCTGTTTTTGCACTTTGACTGCATTTTTACCATTCTTGAAATAATAAAACATAATATGCGGAAAATGTATATCTTGTTCCATCTTCAATGTTAAAATGGCTGCACAAAAATTCACCAATTTTGATAAGTTTTTTAAACAGATGTGCGCTGATGTGACGGCTGTCACAATGCAATCGCACAAAATAGTTTCAAATGACAACTAAGCTCTAACAGAGCCGCTGCACAGAAAAACCTAAACGAGCTTTTTGGGCAACCCAGTATGTGCTTGTAAGTACTGTCCAGTGTTTGAATGTACTATTCCATCAGGATGCATTTTGATTGCTTCTTGTTCATCTTTTGTTACCACAAACAATGCTGCCATCAGTAACTTCCCACAGATGTCATTTTGTAGACAGTTTTAAGATAAAATTTTAAAGTGAAAGTGGTAGAACTAAACAATAACCTTACGTACCGCTAGATAAAAACAAAGTGATGTTGGCACCTAGTCTGGGAGACCCGCGCTGCTGAACACCACTCAGTCAACGGGCTGGGAGACCCGCGCTGCTGAACACCACTCAGTCAACGGGCTGGGAGAAGCACCTCAAGGCCCGAGAGGAGAACAAGGCTTGTCGCCCTCGACTTCAAAAACCAGACGAGGAAGCTTGGTCGCTTACTCCAGTTCCATGCATACTGACCTTAGAACAGCATGGTCTGTTTAGATCGTTTTACTGCCCACCGGACAAACACACCATAAGCCAGGCCAGTTCTGCCCCACAGAACTTTCCGTGGTGATGGAAACGGTCAATATGGCAGCCGCCAGCCACGCGTGTTACTGAGCACTTGAAATGTATTTAATAGAGCCAGGACCTGAATTTTTATTTCATTTTAACTTTAATAATTACATATGGCTAGAGGCTACCAAACTGGACACTGCAGATGTAAAATACAAACAAGTTCCACATTTCACAGTTATATCCCTCTTCCTCTACCTACGCCTGCCCCCTCCCACCAAAATGAAACAAAAAATTAAGAATATGTGTTTCATGTCTACAAAAACGTTCTGGTCGTCTTTAAATAAAACAATGACTTTTTCATGCGAAAATGAAATAGGAAAGAAAAAAGAGTCGAAAGAACTAATAAACATTACAAGAGCACTCACATCTATCTTTAGAGAAGGAAGCATGTTCACTAAAAATTTT